TCGTCGTCGTTCGTCGTCGTCTCTCTCTCTCTCTCTCTCTCTCTCTCTCTCTCTCTCTCTCTCTCTCTCTCTCTCTCTCTCTCTCTCTCTCTCTCTCTCTCTCTCTCTCTCTCTCTCTCTCATTATATACGAGGGTGTGACAAGCATGGATGTGGGACAATGTGGGACGGTGAGTCATCCGTATCCGCTGTGTGTCGTTACAGCAGCAGCAGCAGAGTATCAGTGAGCTAGATGAACTCACTCAGCTAGTAGAGAGCAAGCGCTACTCAGTGCAGGCGAACAGCATACTGGACAGCGTAGACACGACCACCGACACCCTGAGCCGACTCTCAGTCAAGGAGCAGACGCTGGTAGGTTGTACGATAACACACCCACATAGTGCCATGTAACACCATCTAACACCATGTAACATCATCCAATGCCACGTAATGCCACGTAGTGCCATGTAACACCATCTAACACCATGTAACATCATCCAATGCCACGTAATGCCACGTAGTGCCATGTAACACCATCTAACACCATGTAACATCATCCAATGCCACGTAATGCCACGTAGTGCCATGTAACACCATCTAACATTGTGCAATGCCATGTAACACCATGTAACACCGTGCAATGCCATGTAATGCCACGAATCAACATCTAACACCATGTAACATCATATATGCAATGCCACGTAATGCCACGTAGCACCATGTAACACCATGTAACATCGTTTAATGCCACTTACACTATGAACTAGAAAAACGGACAAAATACGGACTAAACATGGAAATGGTGCAAAACGCACGGAGAGCTACGGAAAATTACCCAGCTAATTACTGTTTGTAGCAAAATATACGGACTCCTACGAAATAACCACGGAATATATACGGAGTGCCAATTAACTCTGTCTGATATCGGTGAGTCCGTGTTTATTACGTACATACTCCGTAAATTTGCCGCAGACCAGCAGCGCGAGCTTTTGATGCAGCGAAATGATAACAGGTGCTGATAGTGCCAGCTATTTACCATCGCTTGCTAGTATAGTGCCAGTACTCACACCCGGGCGCGGGCGCGCGGCATCTGGAACCGATGTCTACTAGTGGAGCGAGGCAACGACTCGCGTGCTGGCTGGTATAAACTGGTGCAGCGCTATAAGCATTGTACGTGTCACTGGCGTGTTGACACAGTGGTTTAATCGCGTTCCTGTGTAATTGTGTCGTATTGAGAATTGTCTATACAAAACGCGCATGTCGTGTTGCTGTGTAATAAGTTACTTATATTATGTACAGTGTATTATATATATAGATATAGATATATATATATATATATATATCCGTCGTTATGTTTGTCCACAAAAATATATTAAGCATTTTATATAAAATGTTTGGTTTATTTTTAATTGCCTTGAGAGAACTTGTAATACGATCAAATTCGGGTATTGATGCAAGAAGACTCACGCTTGTGCAAGCACGTGTAGACAAACATATATCAGCACCTGTTATTATTTTGCTGCATCAAAAGCTCGCGCTGCTGGTCTGCGGCAAATGTACGGAGTTTGTACGTAATAAACACGGACTCACCGATATCAGACAGAGTTAATTGGCACTCCGTATATATTCCGTGGTTATTTTGTAGGAGTCCGTATATTTTGCTACAAATAGTAATTAGCTGGGTAATTTTCCGTAGCTCTCCGTGCATTTTGCACCATTTCCGTGTTTAGTCTGTATTTTGTCCGTTTTTCTAGTTTATAGTGTTAATGCCACGAATCATCATCTAACAACATGTAATGCCAGATTACGCTATCATTAACCATGTAACAGCGTCGTTCACCATGTAACAGCATCGTTCACCATGTAACAGCATCGTTCACCATGTAACAGCATCGTTCACCATGTAACAGCATCGTTCACCATGTAACAGCATCGTTCACCACGTAACAGCATCGTTCACCATCGTACAGCATCGTTCACCATGTAACAGCATCGTTCACCACGTAACAGCATCGTTCACCATGTAACAGCATCGTTCACCATGTAACAGCATCGTTCACCATGTAACAGCATCGTTCACCATGTAACAGTATCGCTCACCATGTAACAGCATCATTCACCATGTAACAGTATCGCTCACCATGTAACAGCATCATTCACCATGTAACAGTATCGCTCACCATGTAACAGCATCATTCACCATGTTACAGCATCGTTCACCATGTAACAGCATCATTCACCATGTAACAGCATCGTGTGCTACTTGTCTTGCAGCCGCTGGCTAATCGCTTGGAGAGATACTACGAAGATCCGGCGTTAACGAAGCAGAAAGCGAACCTCGTCTCATTCCCACCCGACTTTCAAGCCATCCCCGCCAAGCCTCTGTTCTTCGACCTGGCTCTCAATCAGGTGGAGTTCCCGTCGCTGGAGGACAGGATAGAGCAGAAGAAGGCAGCCGGAGGTCTCTCAGGGATGGTGAAGGGATGGCTGTGGGGAGGCAAGAGGTAGTCAACGAGGGAGAAAGGGAGCGAGGAAGAGAGGGCTAGAGGGAGGGAAGGGTAGAGGGGGAGAGGGCTAGAGGGAGGGAAGGGAGCGAGGGGGAGAGGGCTAGAGGGAGGGAAGCGAGGGGTAGAGGGGGAGAGAGAACGAGGGGTAGAGGGGGAGAGAGAGCGAGGGGTAGAGGGGGAGAGAGAGGAGGGGTAGGAGGGGGAGAGGAAGTGAAGGGTAGAGGGGGAGAGGAAGTGAAGGGGTGTGTGACAGCAGCAGCAGCAGTAACACTAGCAGCAGCTCTCCTGCACTCGACACAGCACGTGATACGGAATAACAGCTAGGGGCTCTCCATCTCAACAATAACGACATGCCGGCTCACCAGGTGTCTCTGCCGTCTACACAACATCTCGGAGAGCGATTGTATCAGATGCTGGATTTGCATTTAGATGTTATGGCGGAACTAACGATGTGTTAATTGTTTGTCATGGCAACAGACAAGTCTCATCATCTTTCTCGCTTACTCCACCATTCCCATGGCAACTTTGCTACATTGCTAGGCATGTATGTTTTCTGCTTTACGTTAACGTCTTTATTTCTGACGTGATCAGCTGGATCGAGAATAGGTCATGTTCACTATGACATCACGCTGACAGGGAGGGATGTACAGTCTGCAGTGAGTGGATCGGCCCTGAGCGCATTTATTTCTTACCACAATTATTTCTTACTTGCGTTGTTTTTTGGCTAATATATTAGATGGGAACTAGCGGTATTATTGCCGTATATGTACAGTTGCTATGGTAACATTGTGGTTGTCACACTTACCTGTAGAGGGCGTTGTAACAGAGCATCGCACGAGGTCCAGTGACTTCCCTGCCATCCTCTTTCATCCATCTCTACCGTTGCTATCCTCTTCCTCTTCCATCCATCTCTACCATTGCTATCCTCTTCCTCTTCCATCCATCTCTACCATTGCTATCCTCTTCCTCTTCCATCCATCTCTACCATTGCTATCCTCTTCCTCTTCCATCCATCTCTACCATTGCTATCCTCTTCCTCTTCCATCCATCTCTACCATTGCTATCCTCTTCCTCTTCCATCCATCTCTACCATTGCTATCCTCTTCCTCTTCCATCCATCTCTATCCATTGCCATCCTCTTCCATACTTCTCTCCACCCTGTGTTCGCACCCTGCGGTACTCACTAACATGCCCTTGCTGTGGTCTGCACCACATGCCTTGCCTTCACAGATACGAAAATGTATCATTCAGCGACCTTCAGTTGACCTATTTGATCGTACATTCTTGGTGCCACCATGGTTGCGTGAGACAATAGTGCCGGTGTGTGGGTTAACACGTGAAGATTATGATTCGCTCCTCCTCCAATCATGTTTCCACGGTGGCTGAGGTGACATCACGGTCGGTTGTCACCATCACCATGGTTACGGACACTCAGTAGAACACGTGTAAGGCAAGGTCAATCCAAGGTTATATGCTGACTACGACACGTATCGTGTCGGCTGTGTATGTAGAGGGCGCTGTTATCAGATCGACGTCATGGAAGCTGTGAGGTTGCTACGGATGCTGCAACGAATGGCGACAATTCTGTTTTTTTTGTTTTATTTGGTGTCTGAGTTTATGGTGCTGGAATAAATTTGGGCGCACCTGCGCATATGATATAAACTACTCTATGGTTCTTGTATTCTGCCATTTATGTTTAACAATGCAACGTAGCAGTATAAAGTGTGACACTCACTTCGTCAGTGTCTTCTGCAGTTGTAAACAAGTTATCATTCTTTATACTAAACATGTAACGTTGTCACTTTCACATTTGTAGCAGCAGAAGCTTCTTTACCTAACGATTGTAATGAAATAATTAGATTAATTGATTAAATTACTATACCCAACACTGCATGAGGTTCCCTGTACAGAGGAGTAGAGCTCCACGTGTGTAGTGCAGGGTCAAGTAAGAAGTACAGGTGTGTTTAAAATAATAACAATAACGAATTAGTTTTTGTTCATCAACATAAATAACTGAACTGTATTAGTTTCATTATTAACACGTAACTCTGTCGTACATGATTAGATACTGACAATTTGTGCTTTACATGGTACGACGAACATGATAAATAGTTGAATGATAAATGCACGAACAAGAAACACCACGTACGTGAACAACATATATCTGCAGTGTGAACAACAAAAGCCGAAAAAAAAGAAGTAAATAAATAATAGCAGTGAACAACAGTTGTTAGAATATTCGGTTCGGTTCGACGAGCAGCGAAACAATGACAACATTGTGAACAACATATATCCAGGGCCAGACTGGCGGTCGGGAGCATCGGGAGTTTTCCCGGTGGCCTGGGCTGCTAAGTGGCCTGACCCCCAAAATAAATTGAAAAAAATAAATCTGCGGCCTGCCAGGCCATATAGTTACGTTTGTGATTCACATGCGCTAAAATTCACCAGAATGCACGGAATGAAGTCTTTGTAACAAAACTTTTCCTGGTGGGGGAGTCCCGGGACCCCCAGACCTCCCGCTTAAAGTGGCCTGACTGGGGCTATATTCCGTGCTATATTTCCTGGCCTGAATGATTTTCCCAGTCCAGCGCTGCATATATGTGCAGTGTGAACAACAAAAGCAGGGTGCGTAAATAAACATCAGCAGTGAGGCCACAATTAAATAAATCTTTGTTTGCCCTCACCCGACCCAGGCTGAAAAGTTTGGGTAGGTAGGTAGGCTTTTTATTTTATGTTTTTTGAGGGGGGTCTTTTTACAAATTCAGCATGGTGTCTACATGCTCGGGTGTGCGTGTGTGGAGATACCTTTTTATGTTGAATGTTTGTTTTGCTTGGTACATAATTATAATGTATTGCCTATAGATTTATATAATGTACAGTGATACAATTTGTAAAAAAAAGAATGGGAAAGAACATTAAAAAATTTCGAGTCGGCCCCTTTTTGGCGGGTCGGTCGGGAGAGGGCAAACAAACAATATTTCTACTATGGCCTGATGTGTGTGAACAACAGTTGTTAGAATCATTGGTGGCCGCCGCAACGTCCAACCCTCCTCATCATTGTTTTGCTGCTCGTCGGACGCGGATAACGCTGTAGGCGTGAGAGCGAGCGTCACCGCTGCGACGCGCGTACAAACAACGGACATGGTGCGAACACGCGGTCGATCGTTGATCATCAGTCTTCATCGTTGATCATCAGTCTTCATCGTTGATCATCAGTCTTCATCGTTGATCATCAGTCTTCATCGTTGATCATCAGTCTTCATCGTTGAACAGCGAGGTGAGGTCGCCTAGATAGATAGATAGATAGATAGATAATAGGTTTATTGCAAAATTAGTATTTACAACGTTACAATTAAAACAAGTTTTGCAAACACGACCTCATCGGGCCGGGTAAAACTGAAATTGATGATATTTACAATAATATATGTCCTATAATAAGATACAGATATTGCTTCAGATATTGGTTCACCTATGGTGAGTGCGTTGTCGTCTGTGTCGGAGCTCATGGGAACGGCTCTCACTGACTGTAGCATGTTGTACATCCGCTCCTCGATCGTGTTCCTGATCAGGAAGTGATGAACAAACGTCGCCCTGGCAACAGATAGCAACGTTGCAATGTGTATATATATATATATGTATCAGGAGTTAAGAAAGACAAATGTCTTGTCTTTATTAACTCCTGATATGTATGTATATATCTATATATTATACATACCCAGTGGGCAACAGCACCTTGAGTCGACATCGTATATTGGCCGTTTTTAGAACCTAACGTCGATTGATGTGATTTTGACGTCTGTGCGACATCAATCTACAAATGTTGGGAGACGTTTGAGAGAAATGTCATCTCGACATCCACAAGAAATCAAATATTGACCACTTTTTGTTTTTAGTTAAAAATAACTTTTAATTTTTTAATTTTGTTGTCTTCTTATGTTAATCATGTTAATTATGTTCATTATGAATTATCTTCAATAAATACACAATAAATAGCTATGCATACGTCATATGTTCATCGTTTAGCAAACGCGCAAAGCATTATGGCTAAAAGGTCTCGACAGCAGAAGTAAAAGAATCAAGAAATCAGACAGGCATAATTACAAATCCAGCTAATCCATCGAATATACACAGTATCATGCAGTGTTTAAAAAACATACAAGAAGGCAAGTGAGTATTTCTACTATTGTTGTTATATAGTAATTGTCGTGAAACCAGAGTAAACAACTAAATTAATTTGTTGTCTTATGTTAATCATTATCATGTTCATTATGTTATCTTCAATAATCATCATCATCATCATTTCAGGTGCTGACTGTCAGCCATGCTGCGCACATCCTGATCTCTCTCCCCCTTGTGATATTGTCCTCTACACTGTTTCAACTTGGTACATCTTTGTACATTGTTTCTTTTTTGTACATTTTCAATAAAATTAATACATAATAAATATCTATGCGAACGTCATATGTGTTCATCGTGTAGCAAACGCGCAAAGCATTATGGGTAAAAGGTCTCGACAGCAGAAATCAAAGAATCAAGAAATCAGACAGGCATCATTACAAATCCAGCTAATCCATCGAATATACACACTATCAGTGTTTAATAAAACATACAAGAAGGTATAAGTGAATATGTCTACTATTGTTGTTTGTCGTGAAACCAGAGTAAACAACAATATCGCATATTTTCCTATTACCTACCTATATGTATTTCACATTCAGCTCCAGCACATGTATTTAGCGACATGTGCTCTATACAACCACTTAAAACTTCCCCTAGTTTGTTTGCTCTATATAATGACTGCATTCACCGATCACACTACGACACCACCTGCTAAGTACTGCATGTAGTGTAGAATTAATTAACACATGGTCCGACCAAGTTGTTATAATATAAGCCTTCTAATTAAACAGTCAACATTTACTTTGCACATCTTACTGTGGGTATGACAATATTGGGTACACCAATATGCTATCAGATATAGTAATCTTAATCAATAAAATTGTAAGATCTCAAAATAATACGTTAAGTTGAAATATCTTTAAAAAAAGTTCATGTCTTCTATAGAGATAATATCATAAAAGGTATTCACGTCCCACTGATATTTTTTGCCCACTGGGATATATATCTTGCGTGGCTATGAGGGCAACATGAACATCATGTGTTGCAAAAACTCATATTACCTGAGCAACTAAGCAATAATTGTTTTGTTTTATGTGAAATCAATGTAATAAATTGATATGCTTCTCATCATTCCCCAAATTCTCATCACTAGCACCAGAGAACGAGAAATCTAAATTGCAATACATGGTGGCGACATGGTTTTGTGACGTGATGTCGTCAGCGAGGCGCGGTTACATTGTTATAATTGCTCGCACTAATCATATGCGAACTTCTATTACAACTTACTTGGTTTGACCAATCCGATGCACTCTCCCGATAGCTTGTAGCTGATTGGCTGGGTTGAGGATTGGCTCGACCAATAGGACGTGTGTTGCTTCTATCAGGTTGAGACGCTTTAGGCTCCGGAGTTAACAGGCAGCAAGAGGGCGCTAATGTCAGGCGCGTTTGAATGCTGAGAGGTTGTCCTGGCAACAGACAAACACATGCTGGTAGCAGGGATCTAAATAAAACATTGTAGCGGTAAGGCAAGGTGGTGCCTTGGGTTAAAGTTTTAGACAGCGCGGTAATTCATAAGAGCATAAATGATTCCTTCTATGATGTGTCCAACGGGGAAATTACTTAAAATCAACTCTCACTAACAAATTACCTTTATGTAAAACATAGTATGAATAATACACGGGGAATTTATGGAAGGACCTGGAAGCAACCCCTCCCCCGCCCCGCCCCCCCCCCGCCCCGACGCCGTCACTGCCGTAAATATCGTCCTATTTTATAAAGGTGACCACTGGAAGGAGGGCAACCGCTGAACCAATGAACCTTGTAGTGTAGCTGGTGACAGTGAGTAGACAATGTAGTAAGCTATACACAGCACTCAGTATTCTTCATACGAAGGGGGCAGCTTGTAGTGTAGCTAGTGACAGTGAGTAGACAATGTAGTAAGCTAGCTATACACAACACTCAGTATTCTTCCATGACAGGGGACAGCTTGTAGTGTAGCTAGTGACAGTGAGTAGACAATGTAGTAAGCTATACACAGCACTCAGTATTCTTCCATGACAGGGGACAGCTTGTAGTGTAGCTAGTGACAGTGAGTTGACAATGTAGTAAGCTATAACAACCACTCAGTATTCTTCCATGACAGGGGACAGCTTGTAGTGTAGCTAGTGACAGTGTGTAGACAATGTAGTAAGCTATACACAGCACTCAGTATTCTTCCATGACAGGGGACAGCTTGTAGTGTAGCTAGTGACAGTGTGTAGACAATGTAGTAAGCTATAACACAGCACTCAGTATTCTTCCATGACAGGGGACAGCTTGTAGTGCAGCTAGTGACAGTGAGTTACAATGTAGTAAGCTATACACAGCACTCAGTATTCTTCCGGCAAGGGGACCACAGACGTGAGAAACTCCTTCTATATGAAGGGAAGTTTTACTAACCTGGAACTTGTTGTTAGCGTGCAGCATCCTGTGTGTGATGTTATTCTCCCTCAATGGCTTGTCCAACTCATGTTCAACACGTCCTGCCACATGAAACACATGCAGACAATCGTCAAGCCCACGGTGACAGCAGCGCACAGGCCTGACACAGCCGTTGTAACAGGTACATGCTGATATAAGCCAGCTGACTATGTCAAGCCACGGTGACAGCAGCGCACAGGCCTGACACAGCCGTGTAACAGTACATGTGATATAACCAGTGACATCGTCAAGCCCACGGTGACAGCCGCACACAGGCCTGACACAGCCGTGTAACAGTACATGTGATATTAACCAGCCGACATCGTTCAAGCCCACGGAGGTGACAGCCCGCACACAGGCCTGACAAGCACCGTGTAACAGTACATGTGATGACATCATTACTCAGCTCGTAACATGAGACTGTGGCTTGCTGATGGTAACAGGAAGTGACACAAGAGCATCTACTACAGTTAAAACTCGCCATAAGTCGTCATGCGTCTAAACTCGTTCATTCGCATAAGTCGTCATGGAAGTCAAAGTCCCGATTTTCTCTCATAGTAAACGTAAGTCGGCCACAAAAATATGCTGGTCCCAAAAAGTTCTCGACTTATCGCGCATTTTACTAAGTACTTTTGGCAATTGTAACACAAGAGCATCTACTCACGGCGGAGAAGACGAGTGACTTGGCGGAGGCATCTTCTCGCTGTATGTTCATCAGACATCTCACGATTGCTTCCACCTTCGTAGAATGACTGCCCTGCAGCAGCAGCAGCATAAACAAATACAATAATATCTGTTAACTACAATCGCAATCATCGGCAAATTTATCAGCAATCTTGTCACATTGAATCAGGGTCATAGTAGTAAGACACATGTTGAAAAAAGGAACTTATAAACTCTTTCGTGGACGGCCAAAATAAGACTTTTTTTACCGCAGTTTCTGAGATAGATCACCGAACTTATTAAATACACTAATAATATTTATATACACAATGCACAGCCGTTTCGCCCGAAATTCAAAACAGAAAACGTTGAAAAAATCGGTCCTTTAGCAAAAAATAAGGACTATTAAGATACTTTTTCTAAGATTTCACCAAAAAATAAGACTTATTAAGGGCCCTTATTTTATTTTTGGCCAAAATAAGTACTTATAAGACTTTGGAAGACCCGCTTACGAACCCTGTGATTAACAAAATTAATGGTGAATGTGTGGAACTGTACTGTAATGGGTGCCACCCCCACTCCCGTACATTAATGGATGCGTCCGTGCCACGCCCACTCCCGTACATTAACAGGTGCTTCCTTGCCACGCCCACTCCCGTACCTTGATGGTATGACCTCCCCACCCCCGTAACCTTGATGGGTGTGACCTCCCATCCCTCCGTTACCTTGATGGGTGTGACCTCCCCACCCACGTTACCTTTGATGTGTATGACCTCCCCACCCCCGTACCTGTTGGTATGACCGTCACCCCTACCTTGATGGGTATGACCTCCCCACCCCCGTTACCGTTGATGGGCCGCTGTGACCCCCCACCCCCGCTACCTTGATGGGTGTGACCTCCCAAGCCCCCGTAACCTTGATGGCGGTATGACCCCCCACCCACGCCCCCACCCCCGTACCTTGATGGGTATGACCTCCCCACCCCCGTACCTTGATGGGTATGACCTCCCCACCCCCGTACCTTGATGGGTGTGACCTCCCCACCCCTACCTTGATGGGTATGATCTCCCCACCCCCTACCTTGCATGGGTGTGACTCCCCACCCCCGACCTTGATGGGTGCTGTCGCGGCGGAAGCTGACGTGTGAGATGTGCGAGTGTTCGGCTGGTTCGCGACACACGGGGCAACGTGTGCTGCGGCGCTGACCCCCGAAGCTATGCTGCTCCACCAGAACACGCATGCAGCCCTCACAGTAGCAGTGTGCACACGGCAACACACTCCACTGTAAACAACAACAACAACAACAACAACAACCATGAACAATAGAACAGCAGCCCTCACAGTAGCAGTGTGCACACGGCAACACACTCCACTGTAAACAACAACAACAACAACCATGATCAATAGAACAGCAGCCCTCACAGTAGCACTGTGTGCACGGCAACACACTACCCTGTAAACAACAACGCGTGGCAACACACTCCACTGTAAACAACAACAACCATGATCAATAGAACAGCAGCCCTCACAGTAGCAGTGAGCGCACGGCAACACACTACCCTGTAAACAACAACAACCGTGAACAATAGAACAGCATATTACATAAATGACATTGTACAAACAATGCTTGGAACTGTGCTGCAAAGTCAATAATTTGGTGCGTATACAGGAAAACCACAAACTGGCATAGCCATCACAACCTATCAACAGTATCTAAGGATGTGTATGTGCAGGCGTGCATGTGTGCGCACATGTGTGAGCGTGCGTGTGTGTGTGAGCATGAGTATTCATCAACCATGGATAAACCATATAGAGTTCAAGTCTCACCTCGGTTCCTAGAGGCTTGTAGCAGGTGGGGCAGGGGTCGGGGTTCGAACCCCCGTTCTTGCCGTATCCCGTGCGTTCCAGGTTCCTGAGGTAGACGAGCTGACCCAGCCTCCGGCGTAGTTCTCCCGCCGCCGCCACCCTGTCCGCCTGCAGCCTCAACCGATGATCACCAAGCTCCCGCGGCTCAATCACGTGACCCGGCAGCGCTGCGCCCTCTGGTGGCTGCTCGCCCGTGCAGCGCAGGCGCAACCTGGTGGTGGCCATGTCTAGTTCGTCGTGCGCGGACACGTGATGAGAGAGAGCCATCCACATCGCGCGCAGACAGCGAAACTCCTTCTTCAGGTCACGCATGTACGAGACGTGTGCGTCCGCGTCCCGCCTGTCCTCGCGAGACATGTGTCTCGCCTGAGACAGCAACAGCAGCTTGAGACAGCGCTCGACTTCGCTGTCCGCCCACGTGCCGTGACCCCGGGTCGCAGGGTCGGCCACCTCCCCCGCCGTCTTCCCCCGCCTGTCCCTGAAGTCAAACAACCACGCCTCGTACACAGCAAACTTCTTGTCTGCCTTGCAGAAATCACAGCTCAGCTGAACGTTGCCCGACGCAGGCCGCAAGTGACACTCCACCGCCTCACAGATGGCGCCGGAGGTCGGCGGGCGGTCCAGCCTCGCTAGCGCCCCCTGGAGGTCATCGTGTGACTTGCGCAGTGCACACATGTGGTCGAAGATGATGTATTCAAGACCACGCAGGGTGCGGAACTTGTTAACGATGCTGTCCTGGTGGCTGATCGAGTCTAGGTCGACTTGAATACGCTGAATGACGTCATCCTCAGCCTCCTCCTCAATCACGCGCTCGATCACGCTCGCCCACCAGGGGGCATCGCCATCTCCGCACGCGCGCGCGAGATCGGCAGGGTTTGTCAGCGCCTCCCGCAGCTCACCGCGCGCCGTCACCACGGCTGCAGCGGCGCTCTCTAGGTAACGGGTTCGCAGAGTGTTGGCTTCCTCTGCTAGGGTGGCGTCACGCAGCGTGGGGGCGACCCCCAGATGGCGTTGTGAGAGCGTCTCGTGCAGGTTGTGTAGGGTGTGTAGCCGCTGCAGGGAATCTGTCTTCAGCTCATCAGAGTGTCGAGCTATGGAGGCCAGAGCTTGTCTATAGTAATCCACAGCCTCCTCTAGCGCCCCCTGGATGACGTGTAGCGCAGCCAGACCTGTAAAGTAACAGTGAATGTATACTAGCGCCCCCTGGACTGTTGACGAGTTGCCTGTTGTTAGACAATGGCAACTGAATAACAATGGTAACCATGGCTACGAGCAGAGATGGTTGCTAGACGATGGTAACTATGTAAAAATGGTTGCCATGACTACCGTTAAGAGCAGAGATGAGTTGACGATGGGACTCCTCACTCTCTGTGACGGCTTTCTTAATAAGATTATCCAACAGTTCCTCCATTGTCATCGTGCTGCAACAATTACACAGAATCAGACTTAGAGGAAGAGAGGAGGGGAGAGGGAGAGAGAGGGGACAAGTAATAGAGGAATAGAGCTTTAGGGGGTACAAGTTTACATACGGAGCGAAGACATGTACAGCGTGAGGAGCACGGACCAGAGTGAGGTTGTAGCCCGACAGCGCTAGTAGCAACAGCAGCAGCAGCAGCAGCAGCAGTAGGTAGTAGTCAGCAGCTAGCAGGTAGCAGCAGGCAAGGCAAGCCCGCATTCGAACGCCACGTCAGAGTGGACAGGCAGGCAGCAGCAAGCAGACAGTACTAGGATGAGCAGCTTTTTAGTAAGGTAACTTAATTGCTTAATTAGACCAATTAAGTTAGCAGACCAATTAGCGTATGACTAAAGCTGGGTAAGTGTTGAGTATACGCAAGGGAATGGTTTAGCTTCCTCAGTTAAAGGCAAACGTTAAGCGGTAGTTTTCACCAGCAAGCCAGGCAAGCAGCTTAAGCAGCTGATAGTAGCTAAGCTCCCGCCTCTAAGCCCAGACTTCCTAAGACAGGGTCTAGACAAAGTATGCACGCACAAAAGTCAGTACCAGCACCAAGTCAGTAGTTAAGTAGTAAGTTAAGTTATACAGACTAGCTTAGGAGTAGTACGCACTAGGAGCAGAGCAGCCAGGCAGCAAGCAGGCAGCAGGCCAGTAGTAGTAGTCAGCTAGTAGCCAGTAGCAGCCAGCAGGCGAAGCAGCAGCAGCAGCAGGAGCAGAGGAGAGTAGCAGTAGTGACAGCAGCAACAGCAGTAGGCAGAGGACGCCAGCAGCGTAGCAGCGCAGGTAGCTCAGTAATGTACACAGCATGACAGCCAGTAAGTGGAATTCCAGCCAGCCGCAAGAGGAGTAACGCAGCGCCAGCGTAACAGTAACATAGTAACAGCAGCAGCCAGAGTACGCAGCAGCGCAGTAAACAGTAACAGGGCAGCGTAGCAGCAGCAGCAGCCAGCAGCAGTAGCAGTGAGTAACAGCAGCAGCAGCAGAGCAGTAAACAGCAGGCAGCAGCCCCAGCAGCCAGCAGTAGTAACAGCCAGGCAGCAGTTGAGCAGCAGCAGCAGGGACAGCAGTAACAGCATGGGGTATAAGCTCACGTTCTGCAGTAGCAGCAGCCGACCCGCACACCTGTTTGACGATGACAACACGTTCGCCTCTGCCGCACCTCGAGCCAACGGACTGTAAACAGTTTCTGCACTCGTGTGTCGGTCAAGGACTCGTCAGCTTCACGTTGTTGGTGCATGCCAACGACACAGGTTCTGCAATGAGATAGGGGAAGACCTGTTAGCTAACGCTGCCTGGGTAGGGGGCGCCGTATTCAATCTGCTTCAACAACTTCTAGTTGAGGGGAGGGCAGACAGTACGTATATCTCGCGACGTACCTTGGTGGCCTCCGCAGTGCAGTGCTCATGCTGCCGTCTATAGAAATGCTCCTCTACAGGTGAGAAGACAAGCCAATTGCTGTGCGCTCTGCCTGCGCCAGGATATCTGTCTCAATCACTCACAAACAAAACGGGAGTGGGTAGTGAATTTTGTCTTAGACTAATGCATTAGCTCAACAGCTAGCGTATATCATCATGCCCTCTCTAGCTGCGATCGCATTTATCAACTTTATTGTTCAGCATTAATTAAATTATCGGTAATGAGCGTGTGCGGCGTGCTTTCCGCACTTCCCCTCGTTCGACCGACGCTCGCTTGCGACAACCAAGTATGAACATGTCTATAGATCGCCGATGTGCGCTCTGTTAACTCTGACCTACCTGTCTCCACATCCTTCTTCGCAGTTCTCCACAACACCCTAGAGATGGCGCTAATCATCGGCTTGCTGTTACCATGACAATAAGGCAGATACAGCTGCTTCTGCCACCAGGTTTTCTCCCAGTAAGGATCGGTGCCAAGAAACATAAGCAGGCCCTGTAGATCTAAAACAACGAGTGAAACAACACTGAGCTTTTGAGACAATGTCTCTTCCTCAGGCTATTAACAGAATGAATGACACCATATATATCTTAATCTTAATGTCATATAAATATATATATTATATGGGGATATTATATCCATATGATATTGCGCTGTGTTATTGCAGGACGCTGCAACGTGACATGTAATGCTCTCACCATCTAAGCCGCGTTCGATGGGTGTGCCGGTGACACACCAGCGATTCACAGCTGTCAACCGTAGTGCCATCTGAGCCGTGTGAGAACTCACACTCTCCACCATCTGAGCTTCATCCAGACAGACACGCCACCACTGCACCGCCACCAGGGGGCTCGGTACAGCCATGAAAACGCTTAGCATGGCGGAAACGTCGACCATCCTCACCTGTCAGAAAACACGTAAACACCTGTTATAAACACGTAAACACACGCTCACCTGTTATAAACACGTAAACACACGCTCACCTGTTATAAATACGTAAACACACGCTCACCTGTTATAAACACGTAAACACACGCTCACCTGTTATAAACACGTAAACACACGCTCACCTGTTATAAACACATAAACACATACTCACCAGTGACCTGTTAGAAAGACAAACACATGCTCACCTATTATCAAGACAAATACATGCTCACCTGCTATAAAGACATAAACACACATCACCACACATGACGGATGTGTAGATAGTGAGGGCTAGAGAGGGGCATTACTTACCTGTGGCTCGTGTGGGGAGACCAAACATATTGATCTCTTTCTTGAAAAGCCTGCATATGTTTGTCGATGACAATATCATGTGCAGCCGAGATGTTGCCGGCTGCTAAAAAACTGGTGCTTCTGCACTCCCGGGGATAGAGCCTGCAGATATAAAATGAAAAGGGGGGGGGGGGGGGGGGGGGGGGGGGGGGGGGGGGGGGGGGGGGTTGATTTACAATGCTAGCAGTTCCATACACTCTGTCACAAGCTGGTATCAATGATGGCTAACACTGCATTGCCCTTCAATGAAACAATGATTATATTATACCATAAACATGGATATATACATATTATACATGAGATTATGATGTTATCAGACATAATTGATTTCGACTTAGACCTGTACAATGTGGATTTCCACACATAATTTGAAAAGATTTGTTTACAATGTAGAACGCTTTATTATACTTTGACCTGCATTATATCCAACAATGACAGTTATGTCGAACACACACTGAATTTTACAGCGGACTGTGACACACACTCTCACAAACTTATAGAACAGCACACACACACAACTAAGGCCGCACACACACACCACCACACGACCGCACGCACGCACATACGGCACACACGCACGCACACGCACGCACCGCACGCACGCACGACGCACGCACGCACGCACAGCGGAACTCACGTACGCAAACGCAAATTTACGGCCAACGCATTAGGCACGCCGCTACGCACGCCTCACTGAACCTGAACGCACGGACACGCACCCGCATCGGCCCCACGCACCCCAGAGCAACCGACCACACAACACCAACACCGACTTCACACACACACACACACACACACACACACACGCGCACGCATGCACATACACACACACACACACGCACACACACACACACAATCCTATGTGTCTAGTACTCACCATAACTCTGATGGTGTCGTCACGTACGTGTTTCTTGATCTCCTCGCCCCACTGGTTGCAGATGGAGCTGGGAGACACGATGAGAGTAGCAGCAGACCACACCGGCTCCTAGCGAATGCATGTACAGACAGATTATATAGAGCTAGCAGGGACCTGTGCTATAGACCTGAGAAACCCCTCACATCTACCATGATGTGTCGCTCTCTCACA